CCATGGACTGCAAGTCTACGAGGCTCCTCTGGGGGTTTTTCGGGCAAGAATACTGGAGTGGGCTGCCATTTCTTACTCTAGCGCATCTTCCCAACTCAGGGATCAAACCCATGTCTCCTGCATCTCCTTCATTGGCAGGTGGATTCTTTACCACTGAACCACCTGGGAAACCCAACTTAAAGTACACTGTCATGCTAAAAGTTATTGATTCTGAGTGGTAGGATTAGAGTGATTAAAATTGTTTTTTTTCCTGTTTTATATGTATAACTAGTAGAAATTTTATAACTAGTAGAAAAACTTTTTAAAGTATGCAGAAAGCAAATAGTCAATATAAAATTCTAATGATGTCTAAAAAAATAGAATGAAATGACAGTCTCTTATCAATGCTTAATTGCCTAGGAAAAGGCTGATTAATTTTACTGATTTCTAGCTAAGTCAGAAAGTTTTAAAAGCCTTTAAGGCTTTTATAATAGCATAACAACTGCAGCTTTTTAGGACACCTAAAATTAGGCCACATGGAAATGCATGATCTTCAACTACAGTTTTTGACTATATATGATTAAAGTCTTCATTTTCTCTCAACAATTGATTTCTCTAAATAGCTTTTCAAAGAGTTGCTCACCATTTTGCAGAGGAAAGATTACAGTTTTTGTTAGTGAAAGAATAAACAAATTTGGAGACTTTTTTAGGAAGTTGTTTGTATTTATGTAATTTTTAAGCCTCTAGGTTGGAGGACTTACATAAAAGTGTTATGCACACTTAGCAGACATAAGTCCTACTCATCTTTTCAGGGAAATTTACATAACCCATATCAAAGAAGTATTCCCATTTTAGTTAATCTGCTCATATGCATCTTTAAGAATTGCTATAGTGTATCAGAAAGAGCTTGGGTTTCAGAGTAAAATGATCATACTACCCTCTTCAAGGAATCCAGGAATTAAATATACCTCCAGCAAAAAACAAATAAGCAAACATACAAAATGGCACTCATTGCTTGTATTATAACCAAGATGTGGATATTATATTTACCTTGATTTCTAAAAATGATAATTTATTTTGCTTGCTTTGAGCTTTCAGCTGATTGAAGGAATGATAACTCTGCTAATACTGAAATTAACTCTTTAAAATTTAAAGAATGTTTCCAAGTGTTACAAATTTTCTTGCCTTTCTGAATTAAGAGCATTGACTATAATTTATCCTTTCTAGATGATGCTTTGTGTAGGACTTTCAGTACTATGTTGAATAAAAGTGACAAGAGTGTGTATTTTTGTCCTGTTCCTAAAAGAGAAATTGTTTTTAGTTTTTCACCACTGAGTAAGATGTGAGCTATGGGTTTGTCATATATGACCTTTAATGTGTTGAGGTGTGTTCCACCTGTACCCATTTTATTGGGATTTTCTATTATATATGGATGCTGAATATTGTCAACTCAACTGTTTTTTCTGCATCTATTGAAATGATCATATACTTTTACCCTTTATTTTGTTAATGTGGTGATTAATGTGGTGATAAATCAATCACTGATTGATTTACAGATGTTAAACCATACTTGCTTCCCTGGAATAAATCCCACTTGACTGTGGCACATGACCCTTTAAATGTATTGTAGTATTTGACTTGCTAATATTTTTTAGAATTATTACATCAGTGTTCATCAGATATATCTGCCTGTAATTTTTTTGTATGTGTTTTCTTTGTCTGGTTTTGATATCAGGGTAATATTGACCTCTAAAATGAATTAAGAAGTATTCCTTCCTCCTCTTTTTTTTGGAAGAGTTTGAGAAGAATATATTAAATCTTCTTTCATTATTTGATAGAATTCACCATGAAGCTTTCTGACTCTGGACTTTTGTTTCTTGGAAGGTTTTTGACTGCCCTTTCAGTCCCTTTATTAGATATTGGTCTATTTATACTTTCTTTTTCTTTTTTATTCAGTCTTAGGGGGTTATATGTTTCAGGGAATTCATTGCTCTATAAACCCAACATAACGTTCTCTTATAATCCTTTGTATTTCTGTGGTATTCATTGTTTCTCCTCTTTCATTTCTGATTTTTTCAGAACCTTCTCTCTTTTTACTTCGTGAGTCTACTAAAGGTTTCTCAATTTTATCTTTTCAGAGAATCAGCTCTTAATTTCAGTTCTTAATCAGTTCTTAATTGATCTTTTCCATTTTCTTTTTAGCTTCTATATCACTTATTTCTTTTCTGATCTTTATTATTCCCTTCCTTCAATTTACTTTGGACTTTGCTTATTCTTCTTTTTCTAGTCCTGTTAGATGTAAAGTTAGAGTGTTTAGAGATTTTTTTCTTGTTGCTTTTTTTTTTTTTAAGTAAACCTGTTTTGGTATAAAATTCCCTCAAAGTACCACTTCTATTGCATCTCATAAATTTTAATTCATTGCGTTTTCATTTTCATATGTCTTCAGGTATATTTAAAATTTTGTTTGTTTTTTTGTTGACCAAACAGTTATTTAACAACATATTGTTCACTTTCCACATATTTGTGATTTTTCCAGCTTTCTTCTTGCAGTTGACTTCTAGTTTTATACCACTGTGATCAGAAAAGATCCTTGAACTAATTTCTATCCTCTTAAACTTGTTGAGGATTGCTTTGTGACCTGATACATGGTGTATCCTAGAGAATGGTCCATGCATGCTTGAAAAGAATGTGTCTGATGCATTTGGATGAAATGTTCTGTATAAATCTGTTAAGTTTATCTGGTCTAATTTTCACTTATGGCCACTATTTAGTTGTTGATTTTCTGTCTGGATAATTTGCCCATTCATGTAAGTGGGATGTTAATGTCCCCTACTATTGCCATGTTGATATCAATTTCTCCCTTTTGTTCTGTTAATAATTACTTTATATGTTTTTTTCTCTTACATTAGGTGCGTGTATGTTAATAACTATCATGTCTTAAGTTGAATTGTCCCCTTTTCATTATATAATATTCATCCTGTCTTTTGTTACATCTTCTGGCAAAGTCTATTTTATCTGATATGAGTATGGCTACACATGTGTTTTTGACCTTTGCCATTTGCTTAGGGTAATCATTTTCCATCCCTTCACTTTGAGCTCATGTTTGTCTTTAGAGCTGAGATGAGACTTCTAGAGGGAACATATAGTTGTGTCTTCTTCTTTAATCCATCCACCCACTCTGGCTTTTGAGTTTTTACAGTTAGGATGATTAGTCACAGATGAGGATTTAGAATTGCCCTTTTATCTTTTGTTTTCTGGTTGCTCAATATCTGCACTATTTTTTTTTTTTTTCCCTTGCATTCCCTGTCTGCTATTTTGGTTGAGTGGTTTTCTATGATGTTTTTCTCTTTCATGTCTCTGCTCTAGATATGTGGTTTGTGGTTACCACGATGTTTGTACAAAATATATTACTGATATAATAGTCCTTTTTTTATGCTGATAACATCTCATCTTTATTTGCCTAACAGGCTCTGTCCTTTTCCTCTTACATTTTTGCTTTGTTTCCCTAAATTAAGGCCTTTTATGTTATGAGTTTGTTACCAAATTGAAATAGCTATAGTTATTTTTTCTACTTTCTCCTCCCTTCACCATTATGCTATAATAAAATGTTTTAAAATCTATTCTGATAGAGTAGCAATTTTCTGATCCTGTCTACTTGTCATGTCACTCAAGGTTTTGTGTACTTTTGAATTTTGATTCTAGTAGACGAGATCCTTTCAACATTTTTTTGTAAGGCAGGTCTAGTGTCGATAAACTCCCTCAGATTTTGTTTGTCTGTAAACGTACTTCTTTATATCTGAGTAATAACTTTGTTGGATAGAGATTCTTTCTTGGGTGACAGTATTTATGTTTCAGTGTTTTGAGAATATCCTCTCTCCTGTCATATAGAGTTTCTGCTGAGAAATCTTCTCATGTCTAATAGGGTTCCTTTGTAGGATCATTTTCCCCGTTAAGCTTCTTTCTTTTTCATTGACTTTTGACAATTTAATTGAAATGTGTCTTAGAGAGGGTCTTTTTGCATTGTGGCAATTAGGTGTTCTCTTAGTTTTATGGAGCTGTGTATCCAGTTACTTACCAGGTTTGGGAAGTTGTCAGCTATTGTTTCTTTAAACTCTTCTCCTTTTTCCTTCTCTTTTTCTTCTGGGATAGACGTTACCCTAATATTGCCCTTCCTAAAAGAGTCAGATAGCACCCATAGAATTTTCTCATTTTTACAAATATCTTCTCTTTCCTCTTCTACGTGTATCATGTCTAGATTTCTATCTTTGAGCTTGCTAATTCTCTCTTCCATGTTGTCTACTCCATTTCTAACACTTTCTAAAGCATTCATTGTCTTGTTTTTCAGCCCCAGACTCTATGTTTGGTTCTTTTTTAGAATTTCAATCTCTTTGGTAAAGTGTTTCTTCTATTCATTCATTTTATTTCTGAGCTCATGAATTGTCCTTTTGAGTTTTCTTGTGACTCATTGAATTCCTTCACGACAGCGTTTTTTTAACTGCTTATGTTGCCAGATGGTTTTATTTTATTTTTTATTTCTGGCTGCCCTGGGTCTTCATTTTAGCTCATGGTCTTCTCTTGTTGTGATGTGTGGGCTCTAGAGTGTGTGGCCTCTCCTCTTGTGGCATATAGGCTTAGTTGACCCATGGTGTGTGGCATCTTAGTTCTCCAAACAGGGATCCAATCCACACCTCCTGCATTAGAAGGCAGATTTCTAACCACTGAACCACTAGAGAAGTCCCCATGACAGTTATTTTTAATTTTATATTCTTTAGATCAAATATTCTAAGACTTAAAGTTTTTGAAGAACTGTCGTTTCTTTTTGTGATAAAGTGTTACTGTGGTTCCTCATGGTGTTTGATGGCACCACGATTGGCACCTTTGAAGCAAGTATTGTCCTTTCCTCTTTAGGTAGACTCTTCCCCCACCCCACTTGATTCTAATGTTCCAACAGGTTGTAAATTAGGGGTCTTTCTTTTGTTTTCCAGGGGGTGGTTATAACACAAGTTTTTAGTGTCTCTTACCTGAGCTGTCTGGTAACCAGGATGAGGATGAGATGGGTGAGTGGCTGAACAACAACCTGAGCTGTGGCCACTTTGAGAAATGCACTTTCTTCTTCGGTCTCCTCCGTCAGAATTGCTGCCCAGTTCTTTGGTATCATCACTGTGCCTCCAGGGTTTTCGCTGCCCTGCTGCTGCAGGTGCCACTGGCGTCCCTGCCTGGGGGACTGGGATGGTGCGTGCCTCTGCAGTGTCCAGGATGTCCCGAGTCACAGGCTCTGTCCCTGTGGGAGTAGCGGGAGAGAACGAGCTAAGCTTATGAGCCGCATCTTGTGTTGCTGGGTTCATGCGTTCAGTCACTGCAGGGAAGGGGCAGGAGGCGAGACTCTTGGGAGCCTCCACAGGTGGAGAGGCAGGGTCACAGGCCCGCTGCCGCTGCTGCCAGTTTTCTGTGGCCATGGGTGCTCCTAGGGTCCAGAGGTGAGACTCACGCATGCTGTCTCCCCCGCTGCTACTGGGTTCCCGGGGCTTGCAGACACTGTTTCCACTGTTTCCCTGGTTCTGCCTCCTCTGTGTGTTCCAGCCTACATCCCTTTAGATGTACCAGTGTGTAGAATACTGTGGCATCCTGATGTGTTGGGCAGGGGTGCCTTTGTTGAGTTGTGGATGTTTTACTTGTTGTATATTAAAGGGGAGAGACAAAGGGAGCATCTCACTCCATTATGATGCATATGTCACACCCTGGTTAGCATATATTTGAATAGAAAATATATGTGGTATCCATATCAATACAGACAAGTAAGTAATGTATATCCAATTTTATACAAAGTATAAGTTCAGTAGATAAACATCAGCACCATAATGGAGTGAGAGGCTCCCTTTGTCTCCCCCTTTAATATACAACAAGTAAAGCACCCACAACTCAACAAAGGTGCCTCTGCCCAGCAAACCAGGATGTCAGATTTATTCTATAAATATGGCGCTTCCCTGCTGGGTTAGATGGTAAAAAATTCTGCCTGCAATGCAGGAGACCCAGGTTTGATCCCTGGGTTAGGAAGATTCCCTGAGAAGGGAGCGGTAACCCACTCCTGTATTCTTTCCTGGAGAATTCCATGGACAGAGAAGCCTGGCAGGCTACAGTCCATGGGGACGCCAAGAGTAAGACACAACTGATTGACTAATGCTTTCACTTTCACATGATGTACATATATATGGGTAATTTTATAAAATGCAAAAGCAGAATAAATGCATGGCATATACTAAAAAATAAGACTTACATGTCAGCTTGTTAAACTTTTATTTCAATTACTTATTGGTTGTATAAGTATAGCTATATGCTGGGCCATATGTATACTAATATTTCTTGCTACAGAATGAGCCAACATATGTGAAAGCCACTGCTCTTATACCACGGTGACTTGAGCAACAGAAGAGTCTATACTATCAGCTGGAAAGGCCAATAAAACAACAACTACTCTTTCTGTCCTGTACAAACACAGTGATAATTCCTCAAGGCCAGACTACAATCACTCTTTAGCAGGCTGATACTTTGTTGCCTTGTCTTTTCAGATTTATAGCCAGGCAGCACTCTTTGTTTAAAAGAACTTCTCCCATTTCTTTTAGCTACTTGCAAGGCTGGGAATTCTGGTCTTGGCTTCCAAGATGTTTATAACTCTGTTATCAGTTTAGAAGTTGTCATCCCATCTTTCAAATCTATTCTGCTTACTCAACTTAGAGCAACCCTCTTCAGGAATTATGTGAGGATCCTATCACCCTTGCTTATTCTACTACTCCAGTCTCGCAGAGCAATAAGTATATAAATCTACAGATACAAGTGAATTTCATACTTAAATTTCTCAAAATTTTGTGGTTTATTTTAACTATATCTAACTTAAGGCACAGGCAATTATGCTATCCTATAAATCTGTAGTTATTCTTGCACTATTTATTTCTTAGATAAGCTTTGTAAGTTTTTGGAATTTAGAGAATACCATCTTGAAAGAACAAAGTTGCAATTGTCAGCAAAAAAGTTTTTTTTTTAATTAATAAAACTACTAAAAATAAAAAAGACAAAAAATGACTATATATGAAAAGTAGGATACATATTTTCTGTAAAAGACAGTATGAATAATGGCAATGTATTCTTGTCATGGCTGTTGAGGAAAAAAATAATGTTCTAAACTGAAACGTTTGTCAGAATAAGAAAGGGCAAAAAAGATAGGACAATAAAAATTGTAAATTATAGAAGATCTATGAGAAAGGAATCTTTAAAGAGGAATTTTTGTATATGCTCAATTTGGCTAAAATTAAAAGGAACTCAATTAAAGTGAATTTTAGTATCAAAGGTACACTGGTAGTGTTGATATTAAAACCAAAATTAGAATTTGGTTTTTCTCTCTATTAAAAGGGGAAAGTTTCTTTGTCTTCACTATAATCTGCCTGAAAAACAAAAGATTCTGTGTTTTGTCTTTATCACGTCTTTGACTACTCAGAAAGCTATATCTTCTCAATGTTAAAAGAAATTCACCTTTTTGCAGCAATGTAAATTTTTGCATTTGCCATTGAAATCTTTTTGTCATTTGATTAAGTAGGTAATTAAGTATTATTCCATAATGAACTGTAATCCAATTTAGTCAAGTTTCCAAACCTTTTGATATTTTTAACAAACTCCACAAAATCAAATTCTAAATGAAATCTTTGTGACCCTGAATTAATTTTGGGATTTTTCCCTAGGATCCTTAGAATATCTCAAGATATGTATTTTCTCTCCTTATAAGAAGGGGGATATTAAACCAATTAAGTTTATTTGATGTGGGAAATCATATGGAAAGCATTGTCAAATATGAAGTAATATATTGTATCTATATAGGTGTGTGTGTATATATATATATGTATCTATATACACATATGTATATATATATATCTCATAAGTGTTTCAGAAATCTGATGTATCCTGGTATAACTATTATTTTTTTCTAACTACTACCTTAAAATATGTTACCTTAAAAAATGTTGTACTTCAGATAAATAACCAAATTCCTTTGTCAATTGCATTATACTTAACTCTCATCAGATCTTTAACCTTTACTGTTCTCAAGTATTTTATCATTTATAGACAGTTATTGTTTTACTCAGGACTCCTCTGGTGGCTCAGTGGTAAAGAAGCCGCCTGTCAATGCAGAAGACATGGGTTCGATCCCTGGGTCAGGAATATCCCCTGGAGAAGGAAGTGGAAACCCACTCCAGTGTTCTTGCCTGAGAAATCCCATGGACAGAGGAGCCTGGTTGGCTGCGGTCCACGGGGTCAGCCCATCGGGTCCCTAAGAGTCAGACATAACTTACCAACTACACAGCAGCACCATGTTTTACTTTGATGCTTTTGCAAAAGTGTTCCTAGAGAAATGCTTCATCTTCAGGGAGATTCATGGAAATGACCCTGCTAAGTATACTCTAGCATGAAGGTTTCTGATAACTTTAGATCATAACACTGAACTAGGTAAAATTTTTAAAACTTCAATGGAAAACTCATTGATTCCTAAAGTTGTTAACCCAAGATCAAGATTGACAAGAATTATTAGTCCTTCTAATTACAAGAGGCTAAGGATGATTATAATTTTTCTGACTTCTTATTCAGATTTTCTGCTGCTTTACTTTTCCAGATTTAAGAAACTTTTTCTTTTGAGAATCTGTGACTTACAGCAATTCAATAAAATGTGCTTTGTAAACAAAGATGAGACATTTATCTGTCTGTTTTCCCTAACTGATCCCTCCAAAAATTGAAAACTGTCATTAAATATTCTTATTTTCATAACAATATATGTATTTGCATAAATTTAATAAAAATATTTTCTCCTTGTGACAGAAAGCAATTGGAAATATTGGTTATATCACCAAGGCTTTGACTGAATTTTATATTCAAGAGACAGACATAGACAGCTTTTAGAAATGGCCAAGATTCCAGGAAAATAATCTTAAAAAGAACTTATATGATTAATCACTATTCTTGCTGCACTTACGTAAATAATCAGGCCAAGTTACAGACAAATTAATTTTACTGTGATTATCTTTGATAAAAGGGAGAATAATTATGGAGAAAGAAATTATGTCTACACCTATTATGTCTTGTTCTATTAATTGAAACTGGAGTACTCTGGCCACCTGATGCAGAAGAACCAACTCATTGGAAAAGACCCTGGTGCTGGGAAAGATTGACGGCAGGAGGAGAAGGGGATGACAGGGGATGGGATGGTTGGATGGCATTACCAACGCAATGGACCTGAGCTTGAGTAAACTCTGGGAGTTGGTGATGGACAGGGAGGCCTGGCATGCTGCAGTCCATGGGGTTGCAAAGAGTCAGACATGACTGAGCGACTAAACTGAACTGAACTGACTTGTCTTCAAGGTTTTATTATACGCTGTAAGCTGGACTGAATTCTAAACTCCTTTAGTTTCTCCAAATACCTGACTATAGATCTCAAAACTAACATTTACTTTTTTTCCCACTCAACTGATTTGAAATCAGTAAGAACAAAGATTATCCTTAAATCTCCTTAGAAAGGATCATGCCAGGTTCTCCTCGCCGCCCAGATGGCAGTCAGACTTCAGAGACTCCAGCCTTAAGTGCACATCTCACAATAAAGAGGAGTCCATCTGACAGCTAGTTCTATATAAGCCATGGAAATGTCTGAATCCAGCCGACCAGAAATTGAAGTAGATGACAGTTGAGGGAGACAGCTTTCTTAAGATGATTGGAACAGACCTGTGTATCCTTTTCCTTAACCTCTTCTTTTTCTTGGAAAAACAATGCTCGGATCCACGTTTGCAATCTACTGTAAAAGTGAGAAGCTTACCTATTCATTGGGTTTGCCAGCAGAAATGTCTACCTGCTCATTTCAGTGGTGACTCTTTAGTCCATACTGTAACAATTCTTTTCACTTGTCACAAGTGCCACTTCTCATTTCTCTTGATGTCTCCTTGACAGCAGCTATAGAGTAAGACTTCAAGCATCTCATTGGTCCATGGCCACCTTCCATGAGAACTTCCAGGAGGCATACATGACTCTCAGTTTGCTTCCATATGGAAAGTCCTCCTCTTTGGGGTTGGAAAAAAGTGCTAATGAATGCTTGATCAAAAATCTCTCTCTGACATTAGGAGAGCTGGCTGGTTCCACAGCCAAGGCAACAGCAACCGAGTGGTGATCACTTGACTCACTGGCTAAAGTATTGGCTTGACCAATATGTTTGTTCAGGTAACTAACATCTTATGGAAAAATTTGAATGGAATTGTTGGCCAAACTAATAATTTGGGACAATCACATAGTCCTCAGTATCTACTTGTTGAACAAAGAGGCATTTATGCAATAACAAATACCACCTTCTGCCCAAGGATAAATGCCACTGGAGAGATTTAAAACTCAATTACACAAAATCAGGAAACAAGCCCATTGGTTACAACAAATTTCACCTGATGATATCTGATCTTTTCACCAATTTAGC